TCTTTATATGGCCTGCCATGGTCAGGCTTAATTCCTAATGTTCTCCTTGGGCTTCATGGCACGTTAGAGCAGGGACATAAATCATCACGGATCACCAGCAGCCATCCGGTTGGCTCATGGTCCTGCTTTAAACCCGGGGCTGCTCTGGCATCACGCTGTGATGAGAGGGGCCAAAACCCTGCCCGGGGCACCTCGGGGAGCAAATCCCAGGTTCCTGGTGCCACATTGGAGCTTTTAGCTAAAAACCAAGTAATCTCCTTAGGAAAGCTGCACCAAATCCCCCCACGCACGGCAGCAAGAGCTCAAGGCACAAAGGCTCCGGCTCAAACCTCCTCTCTCCTGCCTTTGGGACCTGTGGGCCTGCTTGCAAACACCATTGCCATCCAGCAAGAGCCATCAGTGCCTCTCCAGAAAGCTGCTGATGCCCCCTGTGTTCATTACAGCCCCAGTGAGACCCAGGGGGCCTGACAAGGATCAATAAGCATGAAAATCCCCACTTTTTTTGCTTTTTTTCCGCAGAAGGAACACCCAGAATCCTAAAATCTGCTCTTTTCTGCAACCCATTACCCTCGTGGGTGGCTCGAGCCATTGCAACAGCATTAGAGCACTGTTCGACTTTGTCTTCTGAGGGACCTCCTGGGTGGCTGAGGCTTTACCACCCTCCCCACACCACCACAGGCGGAGGCTGGGATTGGGAACACCAAGGAGCTGATGTAAGGAGCTTACCCAGGGCTTTGTCCCATTGAACACCAGCAAACACAAGTTGTCATTTCCCTGCACGCAGCGAACACGGCGCTTTTCCAGTCCTTTCATCTCCACTGGCCCCAGGACTTGGATGCTGCGCTGTGCTATCCATTATGCAGCACTCCAAGCAGCACCAAGATCACATTCACTCTTGCTCAAGACTAATTAAGATGAATGTTAACTGTCTCCAGCACTCATTACCCAAGAGGGAATCTATTAGTGGCTCTGATGGAAGCGCTCTTTGGAGTAACCACGTCCCGTTGCCCAAAGATGCTCCATTTCTCCCTTTCTCTTCTGACCTGGACCCTTGCAGGAAGAGGCACCTCAAGAATCATTGACTCATAGAGAATGGTTTGTGTTGGAAGGGACCTTAAAGCTCATCCAGCTCCAACCCCTGCCATGGGCAGGGACACCTTGCACTCCACCTCCAGCTTTCCTGCAGCCCCTTTAGGCACTGGAGCTGCTCTAAGGTCTCCCCTTCAGGAGCCTTCTCTTCTCCAGGCTGCCCCAGCCCAGCTCTCTCAGCCTGGGGCAGGGTCAGGGGCAGGACCTTGCACTTGGCCTTGTTGAACCTCATGAAGTTCCCATGCTCCCACCTCTCCAGCCTGTCCAGGTCCCTCTGGATGGCCCCCATCCCCTGGGCATGTCAACTGCAGTACAGAGCTTGGTGTCACCTGCAGATGCTGCCCTCAATGATTATACCATTGATGAGCATATTAAGCCATACTGGTCCCTGTCATCTGGCCAGACCAATGGTTAATGCAGAGGAAAACCAGAGCATTAACCCAGCACATCCTGCTGCCGCCTCAGTTTCCCCCCCCCGCCCCCCAGCTGTGGACTGTGGTGTTTGGAGGGGGAAATTTCTTTCCTCTAATGCGATGCTCCATGAATATCACAGCAAACAGGAAGGAAAGCGTAGGGATGTAGGCAAAAATAAACTGGTCTATAAATAACCCCCCTCCGGCAGCGCCGGGCAGCACGGCGTGGTAGAGCCCCTTCCAGGGATGGGCAGCTGCTTCCCGCATGCCACAGGGATACAGAGATTTCTTTAACAGCTATGAGAAACTGCTGTTCTTGGTGGAAAAACAGCCTCGAGCACCCACTTCTGAGCACCCACAGGAAAAGGAGCCTCTCTTTTGCACAGAGCCAATTCGGGGCCAGGGATGTGCGTAGGGAGGAGCAGGCAAGGAAATTCAGACATCCAGGATTAGTGTCTAATTAGCCCCATCATGGAGCTGGGATTGGTTTTAACCACTCCAAACAAGGCTTGGTTTAAAGTTATTCCCATAAATCCCCTTTATTGGTGGGTTTGGAAGTATTGGAAGCTGCTCTAAGGTCTCCCCTGAGCCTCCTCTTCTCCGGGCTAAACAAGCCCAACTTAAGCCCAACTGACCGCGTGGTAGAATAGTTAAGGTTGGAAAGGACCTTAAGATCACCCAGTCCCAACCCCATGCCATGGGCAGGGACACCTCACACTAAACCATCTCACCCAAGGCTCTGTCCAACCTGGCCTTGAACACCGCCAGGGATGGAGCATTCACAACCTCCCTGGGCAACCCATTCCAGTGCCTCACCACCCTAACAGGAAAGAATTTCCTCATTATATCCAATCTAACTTCCCCTGTTTCAGTTTTAGCCCATCCCCTTTGTCCTATCACTACAGTTCCTAATGAAGAGTCCCTCCCCAGCATCCCTGTAGGCTCCTTTCAGATACTGGAAGGCTGCTATGAGGTCTCCACGCAGCCTTCTCTTCTCCAGGCTGAACAGCCCCAACTTTCTCAGCCTGATCATCAGAGATGTCCCCAAAAGCCCCCAGAAATATCCAACCAAGGATAGATCCGACAGAGACTGCGGGTACAAGGGCAAGGGAGCATCCCTGCACTGTCAGCCTGGGAACGGAAGGGATGCTTTGCCCTGACAGCCTCAGAAGTGGCTGCTGGTGCAGCACCATCAGAACAGACCCCAATAGAAAGCCTCAAAGAGGAATAAGTTGTGGCTGGAAGTGACCTCCAGGCTAAGGGATGTGCACTCATGGCTTCCCATTCCCTGAGACTGAGCTGAGCCCCCTTCCAGCATTCCCCTCATCATTCCTGTATCCTCATGGCCAGCCCAGCATCAGACACGATCGCACCCCACAGCTCCCAGCAGGAGAAAACCAGCCAGGTTTCCTGTTGCGATGCAATAGTTGTGGTGATGTTGATTCAGCCTTCGAAGAACATGGATAAAAGCAGGTTCCTGGTTGTAGGCAAAGAGCAGGCGAGGCTCGGAGATGCTGTGAGCACAGGTTATATTTAGGGCAATCCAATAAATCTCTGTTTTGACCTTAAATAAAGGACTGAGTGCAGCTGGGAAGAGAATGAAGGCGAGCGGTACGCTTCGCAGCCCTCATATTAATGCATCAAGCTACGGATTTATTTTGTCAGGCTGTCAAAAGCGGCACCTTTACGGGTTTATATAAAGAGGCATTAGAATAGAAAACACTTTGTAGCTAAAAAACCCCATTAAAATAAAGAGTATATTGCCCAGGTTTTGCTACTGAATAGGATTGAAAAGCAAATAGGGGCTGCAAAGGGATGGAGAAGCTGCGTTCTCCTGCGTGTAGGGGCTGCGGCGCAGTGTAGCGCATGGATGGGGTGTCTGACGCATCCATCAATACAGGTGTTTGCACCCTTTCCAAACAGCTTTTGGCCTAAGCTAGCTAATGGATGGGGAGCTGAAACGCTGCTGCATTGTCACAGATGACTGGGTTTTGGTCCAAAATGAAAAGCTGATTTTTCTCCAGGTCCCAGGTGGGAACAACCAGCCCCTGTTTGGAGCCAGCCTGTCCCAGGAGGACACAATTCCAGAGCCAAACGCTGCCCATGAGCCCACCAGAGCAGAGAGCAAGTGATGGGCACTGGGAGCCACAGATCTGGGTTGAAACCCTTTGCTGTTGAGCAAGGAGGGAGCAGAGGAAAGCTCCCACCCCAGTACCCACAAAGCCTCCTTATATGGGATAAGGTGCTGCTTTCAAGGGGACATTAGGGGTGGATGATGCAATATTTCATTGCTGATGGCTGGTGGAAACGTTGCTGTTTCAGTGCACGGCTTTGGAAACACTGCCAGGAGGAGGCTGGAAAATCAACCTCACCTTGGGGAAGCTCCTCCAAGGGAAGGTAACCCATGGTGGGATGCAAAGCAGCACCCAGTTCAAACCCTGCTGCTGAATACACAGTCCAGAGGTGAGGGAAATAGCTGAATACTCAGAAATAAAGGTATTTCACATGAAAACAGCTCCTCCAGGAGCAGCTGCAGTCTCCCTGCCTCAGGGCCAGGGGGGACTTTTGGTTGCCCACCCGTTGACTGACCATGGAGATTCTCAGTGCTGTTTCCAACAACAGACACATGGGAATTCATTGAGAGCCAGACAGCTCTGGAGGGGGTTGAGATGGTTTGGAAGACCCCAAATCCCAGCTTGCTCCCAACCAGCTGAAAGAAGCCCCCTCCTGCAGCCTCATCCCCTTGATGCGATGTCCCTGAGCATCACCAGCACCCAGGCAGCAGCTCTTCAACTCCCTTGTCTCCCTCCCCTGGCCCCATCCCAAACTCACTCCTATTAGTCCCATACCCAGTTTGGGTGTAATAGAGACAACAGCTTCGGCAAAGGGAGGAAATGCTTCAGGAGACCATAACTTATCTCCCACCTCCTTGGAAGCGAGGAGACCCTGTGGATGGGCTCCAGACCTGTGAAGGATGAGCCCTCCTTGCAAGCACTTGGTTTTCCCATCCCTGCTGCCCTTCTGGCTGCTTTACAGACCCTTGGTCCTAACCCTCACACCATGCTGAGCCTACAGACACCCAAGTTATTGCTGCTTTATGCAATTAGAGGCTTTCTCACACTCAAGCATGGTCCAGACCCACCACCACCCAACCAAGGCATTGTGACAGAAGAGCCCCAACCAGTACCGAAACTGCCGATCCCACCAGGTTACATCCCTCCCGATTCAAACAAATCATTCCTGTCCCTAATTAAAACAAACCATTCCTGTCTCAAGCTCCATTTGTACAGAGATAAATCTGCCTGGACACACTTGGGTGGGTTTTCTCTCTGCTTCGAAGCATAGATCACAGCAGATGAAGAGCATCCCTTTGCTAGGGCAGGAGGGGCATGGCCACTCTTGGTGTACCATCTGCTATCACCAGGTGTCACCTGGTTAAGGGTGTTTTGGGAGGGAGAAACAACCCCATCCACACATGAGATGCGAGCTGGGGCTTACCTGGTGATGATGGCGAGGTGAGGGGGGCTCATGCAGGCTCCCATGAAGAGCACCACGTTCTCGTGCCGGGTCTGCCGGTATGCCATCACCTCCCTCTTGAAGGCCTTGAGCTGGTCCTCGTTGTCCCGCTCGATGTCGATGAGGCGGATGGCCACCTCCCCGTGCCAGCGGCCGTGGAAGACCTGCCCGAAGCGGCCCTTGCCGATGAGCTCTCCGATCTCGAGCTGCTCGAAGGGGATGTCCCACTCCTGCAGGAAGATGCTGGTCTGGCTGGCCTTGCGCGGGAAGTTGCGCGCGGAGAGCAGCGAGAGGTTCATCTCTTCGAAGTCATCCTCCGACTCCTGCGTCTCCTCGGGGCCCTCTTCGTTCTGCCATGGGGAGAAGGGAGCGCGATAGAAACTGAACCCATGCAAGATACATGGGCAAGACCCCACTGAGCCTCCTACTGCTTGTTCAGACCCAGGGAAACCAGGCAGGTCCCTTCCAAAGGGAACCGGGGGGCAGAAACCCACATTTACAGGGAGTCATTTATCTACTCCAGGGTTAAATGTAAGAGTGGGACACACCAGAGAGCTTAATTCATTCATCTGAAAGCAGTGCTTCATCCTACCATGGCCAAGCTGTGCTCTGCTAATACAACTGCTCCCCCCTGGCACCCCTGGTCCGCACAGAAGGCACCCCATGATGGGTATGACTTCTCCCTTCATATTTCCCCTTAACATTCCCCTTGTTTTTTCCCCTATATCTGTTTTCTACAGGAATTAAAGCACCCGTTAAACGCTGCATCCCCATCCTCACCCCCCGCTCCTTCCCTGTATCTCATAAACGTTCATTGGATTCTAGACCTGAGGGCAGACACGAAGCCCATGAGGGTCTCGCTTCATGGGGTGGGCACACGGATGCCTGGGCAGGGCCAGGCCTTGGCCATTAATTCAATCATCAGCAATTTCCCTGCACAGATGTTCAGCTTCTCTGTCTGCTGTGAAATGTGCCCCAAGACATGTATAAAATAAAGGTCTGCTAAGCACAGGAGCAGGTCCTGCTGTCTCACCTCCGAGGTGGGCTCCACTTCAATTTGAAGCAATGGGTTTCCTTCCAGGCTGTTAAAAGGATGATTGCATTAGTGAGAACACAGATAGGTGGGGAGCACACGTGGGCATCAAGTCCTGCTTCCCACAGCATCACCGCACTGGGTCTAAAGGGATCTGGGAGGAGAAGAACCAGGCTCACTGCTCATATAGGGGAGCAGCCCCTTCCAACCCACACCCCAGATGCCTCCAAGCCCAAGGACAGCTCTGGGTGCTCACATGGGAGCAGGGAGGATAACAGGGATGAGCAATATTCATTACTGCATTCATTCATATAGGATGTAAGAGCACCCACATTCATTGGGTTTCCCAGCTCCCTGGGCCAGGGCTCCTCTTCTTCACTTCCCCAGCACCAGGGTCTCACCATGCCCAACAGTTAACAGGGAATTAGGGGAATTCTGTTGGGAAGATCAGCGGGAGCAGCTTGGGGGGGTTTGAGTATAATACAGGATATTATAACCTGTTATGATCAATAACATAAATAACAGCATCCCTTCCCAGAAAGAGCAAGGATCACAGGAAAGGCTGAGCACTGAGCAGCCCTGTGCATCCTATCCCATTCAACAGCCACTAAGGAGCTATAAACCCCAGGATGGATGCACAAAAGGAGTCAACTCTGTTATTTTAATCCATATGGATGCAGGCGGCTTCTGCCCATCACGATGCATGGGCGGCTGCAGGAGCAGCAGCTCCCTCCTCCTGCCTGCTCTTTAACCCAGGCACGAATACCTGTCTCCTGAGTATCAGAAGCAGAGGCTGGTGTTTAACCCAGCCAAGGCCAGGGTAAGCTCGGTGCCTCTGTTCTGACCATCCCATGGTTCTGTGATTTGCAGTGGGGTGAGCAAGAAGGGAATCACTGATTTGATAAAATGAAAGCTGTTTTCCCATAAAATCCTGCCAGCTCTACACCAAATACCTTGCAATAAACACCCCAAAGGCCCCAAAAGGCTTTGAATTCACCACGTTGCCATTAACTCCCCAGCTACCAGCAGTGACAGAGGCCCCATCCCCATTGCATCCCCCAGAGGTGGGGTCCACTGGATCCCTAGCAGTCGCCAGTGCAGTTTGGAGAGGGTGGGGAAGCCAGCCACAAACCACATCATAAACCCAGAGCAAAACCCTGTCTGTTAAACTGCTGGCTTGGAATAGCCTTCCAAAAGAGCATTTCTCTAAAGGATCAGCAAGCAACAGTGAACCGAAACGTGGGGCACAGACATGAGGACTTTGGTGAGTGCTGGGATCAGCAGAGCAGCTCAGACTTGACCTGCCAGGGAGAGCAATGAGATACTGCATTGCTGAGCTAACTACAGTGCAAAGTTTATTGGACTTGAAACCACCACAGGCAGGGCTGCAAGAACCATCCTTATTAAAACTGTTTGAAAGACCCAGGTTCCCTGCTTATAACTTATCATAGAGTCATGAACGGTTTGTGTTGAAGGGACCTTAAAGCTCCTCCAGTTCCAACCCCTGCCACGGGCAGGGACCCCTTCCACTGGAGCAGCTTGCTCCAAGCCCCTGTGTCCAACCTGGCCTTGAGCACTGCCAGGGATGGGGCAGCCACAGCTTCTCTGGGCACCCTGTGCCAGCGCCTCAGCACCCTCACAGGGAAGAGCTTCTGCCTAAGAGCTCAGCTCAGTCTCCCCTCGGGCAGGTTCAAGCCATTCCCCTTGGCCTGTCCCTACAGGCCCTTGTCCCAAGCCCCTCTCCAGGTTTCCTGCAGCCCCTTTAGGCACTGGAGCTGCTCTAAGGTCTCCCCTTCAGGAGCCTTCTCTTCCCCAGGCTGCCCCAGCCCAGCTCTCTCAGCCTGGCTGCAGAGCAGAGCTGCTCCAGCCCTCGCAGCATCCCCATGGCCTCCTCTGCACTCGCTCCAGCAGACCCATGTTTAGTAAGATTCATCCCTTGGGCTTTGTCTTCTCAGACCAAAAGTCATTTCTATTCCTGATGGTGAAGCTCCGGACACATGCATTGCTGTGCTCATCAATCAGTGCCCTGCCCTTCCCTTTCAGCCTTTCTCCTCTGTGAGACACGAGCCAGAGCTGTGAGCTGGGTTAGGGCACAGGAGCATCCCTGACCACCCACCCCGACTGCCCAAAAGGCATCCCTGAGCCCAGTCTGGACCTGCAGAGCCAGGGGAGCACCCATGGGTGCCTGGAGGAGGCGTGGAGCAAAGGGTGCTCTGCATGGGGAGGGGAAGGTGATGCTAAAGCAAGAGGAAGGGAGGCACTCACATGGGGTTGGAGTTGACGGGGTGCAGGATCACCTGCGGTGCTCGGGTCGGTGTCTCAGGCACCACATCTGGGGAGGAGAGAGCAGAATAAGAGCAGGTTGAAGGCATCAGGAGCCCTTTCAGTGCTAAAAACCTCCCTACAAGCTTGGAATGGTCTGGCTTGGAAGGGTCCTTAAAGCTCATCTAAAGGGACCTCAAAGCTCATCCTTAGGTCCAATTTAGTTACCCTCTTCGCTATAGCTGGGTGTAACTCAGGGCCATCCAGCCCTGCATTAATGTAGTGGTTTGGGGGAGAAATCCAACCCCCTGCACTCATCCAGGGGTTAGGAGAGCCAGCCATGCACCAACCCTCCCAAGGGATAGCTCAGCACCCTGTCTTCGAAGAGACTTACCTGGGAAGATGAACTGCTGCTTGTACTTGTAGTAATGGGAAGCTGGAAAAGAGAGAAGGGGAGTTAAACACCCTAGCATGCAGAGGCAGGCGTTGGAGAGGCTCCAACCTGCACCATGGAACACCAGCCCTAGGTCCGGGTCCCCTCCATCCCCATCTCTCTGGAGGATGCAACCAAGATGGCACACAGGGTGCCAAATCAAGACCTGGTTCCCATCCAGCCTTCAGGAACCACTTGGCATCATGGAGACAGTGAAAGGGTGCTCAGGCATTGAGCCCAGGGCAGAGCTGCAGGCACCGTCCCTGCAAGCGTTCACACCCCATGGAGATGAGGCCTCAGTGCCATGGGGCAGTGGTGGCCTTGGCAGTGCTAGGAAGGGTTGGACTGGATGATTGCAAAGCTCTTTTCCAACGCAGCTGATTCCGCCCACTTCTGCCCCATTTAGCCCATCTAACTGTGCATTTTGTGTGCATTTCTGCCATGCTGTGGAGCAGCGACCTTCCTGCCTGCTCCTCGTGCACTGGATGGTCCCCTGGGGACCACTGCCCAAAGCCAGTGCTGCAGGAGGGCTCTGGGCACTGGTACCCTCTCCATCATCTCCCTACCACCAGTAGGCAAAGCCCAACAGCTGATTTGACTCCTGCAGGCAGGTCATGGGTATGAAGCAAGGCAGAGATGCTGAGGCCACCAGGGGTTGGCACCAGCTCAGAAGGCAGCTTCTCCTTAAGCTTCAAGGCCCCAAAAGCTGTTCCTCAGCTTCAAGACCCTGGAGTGACCCCAGCCCTACAGCAGGACCCCTGAGCCGGGATCAAAGGAGACTCGAAGGTAATCCTGGCAGAAGGAGGTCACCTTTTTTGCACTTTCCAAGCTCAAATCCTAATCCCCAAGATGCCTGTTTTGATGAGGTGAGCCATGGAGAGCATAGAATCATAGAATAGTTTGGGTTGGAAAGCACCTTAAGATCATCCAGTTCCAACCCCCCTGCCATGGGCAGGGACACCTCACACTAAACCATGGCACCCAAGGCCTCATCCAACCTGGCCTTGAACGCTGCCAGGGATGGAGCATTCACAGCCTCCCTGGACAACCCATTCCAGTGCCTCATCACCCTAACAGGAAAGAATTTCCTCCTTATATCCAATCTAAACTTCCCCTGTTTAAGTTTTAACCCATTACCCCTTGTCCTATCACTACAGTCCCTAATGAAGAGTCCATCTCCAGCATCCCTATAGGCCCCCTTCAGATACTGGAAGGCTGCTATGAGGTCTCCATGCAGCCTTCTCTTCTCCAGGCTGAACAGCCCCACCTCTCTCAGCCGATCTTCATATGGGAGCATCCTGCAAGGGGAGATGAAAGCAGCAACTCCTGCTTCGTGTCACACCAGGTCCCGTTGGCCACAGGGCTCTGCTCACCACAGGCATGGAAGCAGGGAGCAGTGACCCCACTGAGCTGCTGGGGTCTGATCCTGCCCTGCTCCATTCCTGATGGCTGGACAAGGAGCTCCTGATGCTGTGGCAGTGGTGGCAGTGACAGCACATCCATAAGGAGATGCTGCTGCCCACTATGGGGGCTGCTTCTGTGCTTTGTGCTTTAAACAACATGAAATAACACCTCAGACGACCTGCAGGGAGGGGTCTGCTCCACAAGTGATGCACGATGGGGCCAACAGATGCTGGATCCTGTCTCTTCCCCCAGACCCAGGCAGGGTCCAGGGCTTGGGGATGTGAAACACTGCAAGCCTGGCTATCACACTGGGAAGACATCAGGATGCTTCTGCTCTGGCTGGAGCACCATGAACCCGGTTAAACTGGCACAGAACCCTTTTGGCAGGCATTCTGTAGAGTTCTCCCAGCACTTGGAGGTGCCTGACTTTGGGAGCAGTCAGGTTCAACTGCTCCTTGGGTTGCTCAGTGCTTCCTCACAGCTCCTCCACTGTCTTCCTCGTGCTCCTCCAGCATCCCAGGCACTCCAGAGACCTGTGCGCAGCTGCAGCCTCTCCAGGTATGTGCTGTTTGCCTTCCTGCTGGACCAGTTTGTCATCCTCTGAGGTTTAGGGATGCAGGACCCTCCCTGCTACTGCCCCATCAACAGACACAGACCAAACAGGGGTCACCAGGCATGACTGCTTCAGCATCTGGAGACGGGTCAGGGCCATGGCTCCCCTCCTCACCCCTCACCAGGCCCTTTCTGGGAAGGGCTGGAGGGGCAGATGGGTGGATGAGGACACCAGAGACACCCAGCACTGCTAGGAGTGATGCTGAGACATTCCCTCCAGGAAGGGACCTTCCCTGGAGCAGCAGCACTGCGCCAAGGACAACCCAAAGACAGCAATGCTGGATCAGCCTCTGGCACATCCTCAGGATACAGGAGCTGTTTTATCCATTTGATGGAGCTCCTGTGTCCTGCTATTGCCTCTTCCACCATTCCTGAAGAGACTGAGCTGCCCGAACAGATGGGTCCCAGGTACCCACACAGGAGTTGGTGGAACAAGCTATATCAGATACCCTCAGCATCAGCTACTCCCCACTATCACCCCACACACACTGCCACAAGCCTGTCACCCCAAAGACACAGCGAAACCAACTCAAGTTACCCTTGTAGAGGGGCAAGACCTTGTTTCCCTTTTGCCTTTGAGTCAATATAGGGGCACACACTTTCATGCCTGGAAAGGTTTCTGTAGCCTCGAGCACATCAGGCTCGAGGCTACAGAGAGGCTGTGATGGCTCCATCCTTGGAGGTTTCAAGACCAAACTGCATCAAGCCTCCATCTCTGACCCTGCTCGAAGCAGGAGGTTTGACTAAAGACTCCCAAGCTCCTTCCCAACCTGAATGATCCTAAACTCATCTCTGCTGCTCATCTCTGCTCCCAGCTTTCCCCCATCCCTGGTTAAGTCCAGAACAGGCACGAGCCGGCCCAGACCCTCATCCCAGGAGCAGATGCCGAGGGGAGGACACGGTACCTGGCAAGTTGAACTGCTTCTGCTGGCGCGGGCACTGCGGGGACGGGTGCAGGGGGGACGGAGGGGTCGCACTGGGTGGCAGCGGTGGGGCTGGTGAGGAGGGTGTGGAGGAGGTGGTGGACGAGGGGTTGCTGCTGGAGTCTGGCTGGTAGGGCACCGGGATGTGGTCCTGCAGGACACGGGGAAGGAGAGAAGAGAGGGGTCAGTGGGAGCAGCGCACGCCGAGGTGCTCCAGTGCGGAGGACCTGGGTGATGAGTGAGGGCTATGCAGGTCATCCCAGTCCCCTGTTTCCAAAAGCCCTAGAAAACAACCAGAGCCACAGCCTGGCCTTTTCCAAAGCTGTATTCACAGTGTGCACCAGAAACAGGGCTCCTTTGCCAGCCCTTCCCTGCTGCGCACCCACACTGAGGGCTCCCCAACGCTGCTGGCTGGGGATGGCCACCACATCCCTGCGCTTGGTCCCTAAAGGCATCAAGGAGCCGGTAGCTTCAGCTGACCTCCTTCAAGCCGAGTACCCAGTGCCTTGCTCAGAGCACTGAGGCAGAGCTGAGAGGATCAGCCAGCACATCCCAAGCCACCACTTGCCCTTCATCAACCCTTCCTCATCAAGGCAAGGATGGCAGCTTCAGGTGTGCACCTGCAGGCTCACTGTGATGGGTGAGAAAGGACCAGCGGGAAGCAAACAGAGAGCAGAACCCACCTGGGTATCTTAGATCTGCGAAAGGAAAACTGAGGCCACGTTTCTCATCCCCTTGCTGCCCAATGAGACATTTGATGGGGTCTGACCTTCAGTAGCACTGAGCACTCCCACCTCCCAACCCATAGCAAGAGCCCTCCAAGGCTAGAAAACCTGCTCCAGCCTCCCCCAGACTGATTCATTTTCGATGAGCTGGGCTTTCCAGGAAACCCACATTTATTTCACATAGCCCATGCTGACACACAGGAGGATCGTGGGCAGATAGATCATTCTTTAACCCAATGCTGAAGGCCACTAAACAATCAGACGTCAATGGTATTCACTGAGAATGGAGTATCTCTAAGGAAATGCTTTCAGAAACATCAAAGTAAGAAGTGGACCTTGTTGCATAAAGCGTGTTCATAGAGGAGACTGTAACCAGAATGGGAGTGCTCAGGTTAAAACCAAATGTAAGTACATATATATGATGTTGAGCATCATCACGCTCTGGCTAGAGGAAAGCTAAGGTGAAAGGACTGCGTGACGGAGGCAGGAGAAAGAGGGCTGATGCCCTTCGCACCCAAAGCCTTTAGCAGAGCTGAGTCACTTCCCTGCTGCCCCCTCATAAATGAAACAAATCACTGGAAGGACAGGCACTAAGAGGGAAAATGCAGCTCTATTTCTTGTGAATACCTGCAGCAGCTCTTCAGCCTCAAAAAGCCATTTGCACCACCCCATCACAGCAACAACAGAGCAGATCATTACTCATACCCTAAGGATGTCCTAGGAGATTTAGGTTTATAAACTGCATCCTTAGAGCATCACCTGGTACCCAGCCTGCGCTGAGAGCCAGAGGATGCTGAGGAGCTGGGGATGCTGCCAGGCTGTGGGAAGCCAGGGTTTTCACATCCTCTTCCCCATCACAACAAGGATTTCCCTTGTTTTGAGTGCTTCCAGCCTGCAAACTCCTCACCCTGCTCTGCCTCCAGCTGCCCATTGAGAATCTCCCACTGAAGGCAAAAGAACCCACGCCAGGTCTGTTGTTATCAATGCAAGGCAGGAGCAAGCCTGGTGCATGCTCAGGTCCAGCTTTGCCACGGACACAATCAAATTCTGGGCTTCTTTTATTTGTAACAATAAATCTGTCACTTATGGAAGTCTCAGGTGGTGGCAGAGGCCTCAAACCACCCCAAAATCAGCTTAGATCTGGAGGCTGAGAGGCCACAATGCAGCAAGAGCAATGGGGGACAGGGTATATTGAAAGTGCTGATCCCATTTGATATTGAAAGGAAATAACCTCAGCAGATGCAATCCACACTGGGAAACCCAAAGGAAACCCTCACGGCTCATCCTGCCTCCACACCAAGCACACCCTTGCTTTGCTCCTTGAATGAGCATGGTCCATGGGATTATTCTTTAAGGACCCAAGCAGGTTTCTAGGCAGCACCGACCCATACACTGGCACCCACATCAGCCCCATAGCAGTGGATGCGCATGGAGACCCCTACAAAGCCTGGTCCTGGCAGATGGCTATGGGGCTGGAAGATGCCCCATCCTGGAGACAACCCATCAGTTCCCTCCCGCCCCAACCACAAGGTCAGGGCACGGTCCCTTTTGCTCTTAAATTCCTCCCTTTAGGAATTACTCTGCAAGCTGTGCTCCCACCCAGCAAACGGGATTGATGTTCCCAAAGGATGGGAAACCTGCATGCAAGGAGCATCTCTATTGTGAAATAGGGTGGCAAAGCCTGAGCTGGGCTGCTCAGATCGTCCCCTGTCTGCAGGAGCAGCATCTGCATGCACAGAACCACCAAAAGCTGCAGGTATTTGGGCACCCCGGGGCTGGCCACGGCCAGGGGGGTGCTGGGGGCTCACCTTGTTGAGTTTGTTGGTTTTGGGGAGCGTTTGGCTGACGTGCAGGTCCGAGAACCGGGGGGGTTTGCGCAAGGGGTTGTTGATATCGCAGGGCACCGACTCTGTCCGGACTAACCTTGCTGCATTGAGAAGGGAGAGAGGGGAGAAGGGGATGGAGAGGAGGGGGAGAGAGATGGAGACACATCAGAGCTCCAAAGGGGCACGTTGGGGTTACCCTGTGCTTGCAAACTGCTATTGGATCGCTCTCCAAAGCAAGCCCCAGCAGCACCTCCGGCTGCTGAGGATGAGCCCCAGGACCAGCCTTTGGGCTCCCCCCTGCACCCAGGGTACAACCAAACCCCACCAGGACATGGGGGGCTTAAAGCCCCTGGTGTCAGGATGCAAACTGCACCCTTCTCCCCCTCTAAGGGGGTGCAAATCAGGAGGCTCAGCACCTGCCATAGCCACCCTGTCCTGAAGAGCATCGGGAGGAGGCACCATCCTCTTCCTCGCTGCAGTTCATTGGGATGAGGGGAAGGAGACGGTTCAGAGCATCCTGCTCTCAGCAGGGAGATTCTGGTGGGGGGGAAAGCCAGCCTCCAGCTTGGGGGACTCAGGAAGGGGCTGGCTGCAAGGCATTATATTTAAGAGCTTGTTTTGGTGGGGGCCATTTCACTGATGCTGAGGCCACCCCAAAGCCACGCTGCTCCTTGCTCTCATGCTAAAACACACAGTGGGCATCTCTGCCCCTTGCAGCACTGCAGGCTGTAATTCCTGCCCATCCCAGCATGTAGGATGCTGCTTTCCCTGCCTCCTGGCCAGGGTTTGCAGCGGCTCAGAGCATGACATGGGGGTCTTCAACCTAAATCTGCCACAAGCAAGGGCATGGGCGCCGGAGCGGAGGCTGCAAAATCGCCCCTCTCTGAGCCACAGCATCCCCACTCGCCCTGCGAGGCGCCACCAGCGCAATGCACCTCCCCATAATGAAACCAAGGAGCACGTTTGTGGTGGTGTTGAACACAGAGCAGCAGCCTTAAGAGCTCAGAATTGAAGGCAATGGAAAGCGGAAGCGTTTCCCTTAGGTGGTCACAGTCCTTTGGCCGCTGGGGAGCCCGAAATCTGGAAGGAAAGAGGTGGGAAGCGGCGCCCGTCGTCCTGCTGCAAAGTTCTCCCTCCTCCGCGGGGTTAGGACGGGCTCTCGGGGAGAAGAGCGGGGTAAAGCAGCTCCAAAAGCACCGCGAGCATCCGCAGGGCCACATCCCCGTGGCGGGGACCCCCATGCACCGAGATGCCGCGTCCGCCCTAAGCTCTGAACGGTAGCGAAAGGCTAAAACCTGTTGCACTTACCCCGTGCGGTGGGGAATCTGAAAAGAAAAGGAGGCAGGGGAAGGGTGGGTGGAAGTGGTTTGCAATGCAAATCTGCCTCGCCCCGCACGGCTCGTCTCCCTACAAGCGGAAAAAACGGGGTGGGTAACGTCTCCACGGAGAGCCCCGAGCGCTTCGGGAGCCTCCGGCACAGCAAGGAGCAGGCTCCCGAATCGCCCGGGGGGGGGGCTGGGGCTGTCGGTTGGGATGTTCGACCCGCTGGCAGCGTCCACGGAGGCAGAAGGAAGAAGGAAGGTCCTTACCTCCGCGGTGGATGATCAGCAGGTGACACGGAGGGGCCTCTTTGGTGCATTTGTTGTGGCACTTGAGCCTGGTGGGGAGCAGAGGAAAAGGTGTGAGGAGAGGGGGATCAAGGAGCATCACGGGATGCAGATGGAGCAGGGAGCATCGCTGCGGATCAAGGACCATTTCTGCACCCCGGAAGGTGACTGGGTGCTGTGCACAACCCATGGGCAAACCTTGCCAGATGCCTGCAGCTTGCCCTCAGGAATAACCATTATTCCCAAGCACGTTCCTAGGATGCAGGCACAGGGGTAAGAAGTGGTCCAGGGTGCAAACCCTGATGCATCAAGGGGGTTGGCTGGGAGGATGCAGAGGCAAATGAGAGCCATGACAAGTGCATCAGTCCCGATGGAGGGATTGAGGAGCCCCCAAACCTGGGGTGCTGCTCAGCTCCAGGGGCACCAGGCACCCAGCACCCAGCTTGAGGATGCTCAATATTGTTCACTTGTGCCAGGCTTGGCTGAAAGAACAGGAGCAGAGAGCTGAGCTCTGGGGAAAGCCCTGACCACCATCCACTAACACTGCTTTCTGCTTAATTAAATACAGGGGCAGCAGAGGGGAAGGAAGAGACTGCCCTGGCCCCTTTGGCTCCCAGTGAATCCCTGCCATTGTGCCCTCCTCTCCTCGCTTTAATACCAGGACATTCAACAACGACAGCATTTATGACCAGGTTGGATATTCTGCAGGAGTCTATGGAGGTCTTCACCCCTGGGTCATGCATAGAGGCATGAGCAGGCTCCTGCCTCTCCCAAACCTGCCTTAATAAGGGATGGAAAAGAGTCTCCAGCTCCTGCTCTACCCCAGTGAAGGGGAGGGGGCCACAGGGGAAGAGGCAAAAAGGAGGCAAGGATTGAAAAAAACAAGGGTAAAGGATGAAAAAAGACTGCAGCTCCAAGTCAATGAGCTGGGTAATGAAAATTCAGGAACTGTGCATGTTAGCTTTTATTACAGAACCATTCCTAGAGGGAAAGGCAGAGATTAATTTGCTATTGGAGCCTTGGGGGGGGTTGGGGTCTGTTTGTTTGCTTTACCTGCTTGTTTCCCTCCTGTTCCTAGGGAAAGCTGGGGAACCTGAGTACTCCCCGTTCCCTCTAACTTCTTACAACCAGGGAACTGATTTCCTTCTTTCCTGAGTGACTGCAGGCAGCAGGATCAACACAGAGCCAGAGCATCACAGGGGCAGGTCCTGCATCCCTCCTGCATGGGGACCAGCCCTGGGCAGGCAGAGCAGGCAGGCAGCAAAGCCTCCAGTTGCTTGAGCATTGAACGCAATAGGAATCCTCACTTTAATATCTATGTATTTGATAATATCACTTCCAGAAAGCCACCGTCAGCTGCAGAGTAATGGGGCATTACTTATCCACATTTTAATCCCAATTTGCTAATTCATCAGCATTTAATCAATGGCAACAGCGATCGTTATCACTTCATAGCTCCAGCTAACTCAGTTACTCACGGTCAATCAGCTTATTCCCGGCACTCATCCCTAGGAAAGGCAATCCTGTCTCCAGAAGCAGCTTTGCTAAGTGCTGATGGCTGCATGATACCGTGTAAGAGCTGGGCTCTGCCAGGTTGGGATTTAAAGCAGTAGAAGTGGCCTTTGTGCCCCACTCTTTACCCATCCCTATCTAATTTCATAGCCAGCACAGCCTCTCTCTATTCCTTTATTGTTGTTTGGGGTGGGTTGGCTCCTTGGTGCCATGACATTGCCAGGAAACAGAGGCCCCCAAGCCTTTTGCTGCTGCAAAAAACAGAGGATACAGCCCCAGGTTGTGGGATGTGGATGAAACCCATCTGATGCCCATCTACCCTTGATGCTCTCGACTGAGCTGCTCTCAGCCCCTGGTCCAACACATCCCTCCCATTCTCTCCCGTAGATAACTTCACAGGTAACCCAATAACATGAGTGTCTAAAGCCAGGCCAAGGATGGAGGTGAGCGGGGAGGCTGTCAGGATCCTACACGGAGCTCTGGAGCTGAGGTCTGGTCCCCAAGGACCCCGCTCCCATTCCCTGCATACAATCTCAGCACCGTTTTAGGGTGCTCTTCACCCAATTTCATGCCTCATTACAGCATCCTATAAGGGTGGGCTGGAGAGAAGTTGGTTGCTTTCCCCATGCCTGTGCCCCCGCTTGGCTGCAGCAGTGAAACCCCAGTTATCCCCATCCCAACAGGAAGGAGCAGCCCCACAGCTCCAGCCCCATGCCGTACTTGCAGTTCTTGCATTTTAAGCCGAACAACATTCCCTTCCCGCAGACGGTGCAGGTCTGAGACATCCAGTACTTGGTGGAAAACCTGAGGAGAGGGACACAGAGGGTGGCCAGAGAGAGAAGAAGCTGAACCACCCCATCCGTGCTCCTGCAGGAGCAGCTCCCAAGCCTCCCCTAACTCCCGAGCCCTGATTTATCCTTTCCTGGCTGCCTTTGTGGGTGTTGAGGCATCATTCTAGGGGTGCCAAAGCACAAATCTGAGCTCCCCCATGTGCAGAAGGGAGACCAAACTGGCCAGGATGGGCATTAGGCACTGGCTGGGTGCAGCTCCCCATCCCTGCCCTGGCCAGAGCCCCCCAAAACACCTCCCTGCCCTGGGACCCCAACGTTCCAGTCCATTGGAGAAGCTTCTGCCCCATCGAAGAGCAGAACCAAGGCTATTTCTAGAACTTCTCCTCCTTGAGGTAGATATGGAAGGGCAATAATCCAGAGATGGGAAATGTGCTGAAGGTTGGCAAGGTCATGGATAATACACGACTTTTATTGACAGCAACTCCAGCCTTATCTAAACCAGATCTGAACTGAGATGGAATTTAAATGGGCAGCACAGCCCAGCATAGGAAACTGGGGGAACAGCCCCGAGCCCCCCCTCCTGGACCAGGGATGGAAAGGGAGATGCTGCTCGCCGGCATTGGTGGATTCACTGCTTGGGTACCTGTGTTTTATGGAGTTTCCTAGATCTCGACGGGGGATCTGCGGGGACCAGCGAGGCACTGACAGCGTATCTGCAGGAGAGGAGAGACAGGGAAAACCATCAGGTGGTGACAAGGGTGGCAGCTTTGTGCGAGGGGAGCAAAGGATGCACACAAAAAAGAGGGGTTAACCCTTTAGACATGATCCCTTTCTGGAAAGGAAGAGATCTCTGCCCTTGTGCTTGGGGCTGCAGGACACTGGAGTCTCCTGCTCCCCCCATCATAACCCCCAGCACCCACTTTGGGCCAAAGAGAGAGGTGTGAGGTGATGCGCCCACCCCATGTGCACACAGAGAGGGGTTGCAAAGCTATCGGAGCCACATCACGATGTCCAAACAAGAAAGGGAGAATGAAGCTGAAGCTGCATCCTTTATTAACAAGCCACCATCTCTTGCAGTCGTGGCTGAGGAAAGGCAATTTAACTGGGTGTCAAGGAGAAGAGCAAAGTGAAGAGCAAAGCCTCAGCACTCTCCTAAGGGAAAAGGAGGGAGGGAGAAGGAGCAGCAGGACCCTGGCTGGGTAAGGAAGAAGAGAGAAGTTCATCAGCGCCTGCTTGGGCTCCACATCCCCTTCAGCCTCAGCAAGGGCACAGACCCTGCTCCTCCTCCTCCTCTGCCACAGGAGAGGTGCTGCCCGCAGGCTGCCAGCAGTGGATTCAAAGGCTGGATGTTCAATAAGGGCTTCCAGAGGTTTCCCGTGCACCAGCGACCAGCCCCATCACGGATGCGAGCCGGGCCGTTTGCTCAGCACGCTGTCAAATCCCTCACTAAACACACTTCCAATATCCCCCCTGCGAGCGGGGAGAGCCACTGTTTGCTTTAATATCCCCTTTTAATATAGCGGGCGGCGTGGTGCTTTAATTGCACTCCCTTTCTGAAGGTTACATTTACATCCCCCTTCCATGCAACGCCGTTAAAAGCCTTGGGAGCATCCTAAACCACATCCATCCCCAGCACCTCCCTGCTCTTACTGCACCTCCTCATCCTGCTCACCCCTCAGGCAGAGCTGGCAATGAAGATGTTGAAGGGCTACGAAGTCAATTAAGGTAATTGCTGCCCCCAGCCCCACCGTGGCTGCTTTACACATGCCAAGATCCCTGACCACGCTTCTCACCACCTCCTGAGCCCGCATCCCTCCCTGTACCATCTGCAGCCTCCTGGGGATGCCCACCAGCCCCAGAGATGATGCTCGGAGGAGTGGGACCGCTCCACAGGCAAGCACATCCCTCCCGCAACATCATTTTGTCATCAGTGAATCACATCAGACAAGTCAGTCCCTGTTGCCCATCCCCAACGCTGGTCCTTGATGAACCGAACACCTGGACAAGAACAGCTCCTCTCCCAATATTAAATCACATCCTCTGCTTTACCAGCCACAATTTATTTCCACTAAGGTTCTGATGGCCTCAATTAAATCCTGCCATCCTGGCGAGGAGGAGAGGGGACGCAGGCAAAAGCATCTGAGCCTTTTAATTACTTTCTAAATGTGCTCGCTGCAAAAACGTATTAAAGTGTATCGGGGATTTTAACCTCCTACCAGAAATGAGCCCTACGTGATTCACAGCTCATTATGCTCATTAGAGGGAACGATACATGGAGGATCGTGGTGTTTAACAATAGACCTGCTCATTGTAGGAGAGAAAACAAGCAAAGCAGGGCAGGAGGGAGGGAACAGCCCGCAGGGTTTGGGGGGCTTTGAAGCTCATTGGTGATCCTCCCTTCAACTTGCACAGGTGAGATTCCCACCCAAAGGAAAAGCTGGTCCTCCCCGTGCAATAGGGCATCAGGGTGATGCCCAAAGGGAAGGTGGAAACGCAGCAGCCTCTCAGCCAGCACAAAGGGAATGTTCTCCTCAAAAATCCACATTTGCCACAATTAGATGTAAATGCAAGGAAAAGCCCTTCATAGGCTCAGGATCACACCTTGCTGAGGGCAGGGGGCTTGGCTTTGTCATAAGGACCCTATGATGGAGAAGTGCCAGACCCAAGGTGCTGTGGCTGCCCCACAGCATCAGGATGAGCTGGTCCTCGTGAGCTCTGAAGCATGACAGCCCATTCCCCACCTCCCTCCCTCCTCCTGCTGCCGGCAGCTCAGCACCCCACGCAGTGACCGTGAGCAACTGATGCCTCCCGACCTCCCTGCCCGCGTGTCAGTCATTACTCACACGTTTATCACCATCAACCTCCTTTATGGCTCGATAATCAGGGCTCTCTCAGCCATCACTCCCATGTGTGAGGGCTGGTTTAGGATGGTTTTCCCCTTCTCTCCTCTTCCGAGATGGAATTTAATGGGCACGGGTGTGATTTCCCACAGTAGAACGCAGCTGGTACCCATTGAGCATCCAACGGGTCCAAGCATCATCACTTCATCACCTCCCCATCACCTAGAGGCACCCTGAAAGGCTAAACCCTGCTCCTCAGTGGAGCAGTCCTACCCATTGATCCCCATAGAGCACCCAATGCCAGGGGATACCACCCAGACACCCCAAAACCCCCACTGCTTTCCTTCCCCACAGCATCGCACCGGCAAAGGTCAGGGCTCAGCCTTGAGCCAACAGCCCGTGCCTGATGGGATCAAGGGAGACAGGGAAGGCGGGAAGCGCCCGGATGGGGGGTGACAGCCGCCTCCGGCACGCCGGTGACAGCAGACACAGAGAGGAGCCCGGCTCGCCGCGGTGACAGGCAGCGGTGACAGGCACCACCGGTCCATGAGTGGCACCCGCGCGCCTTGGAGGTGACAGGGACCTTGGCCGTGACGCTCTCCTCGCCCCCGCTGCCACCCCGGGTGTGGATGTTTCCCCTTCACTCCCTGTCTGTGCGATGCATGGGAGGAGAAGAGCAGCCAGAGCTCCCCTGGTGCTTTGGGTTTGGGTTTCCACCCTCCCTTGGGGCGCATCAGGAGGGCAGTGATACCCCCAGCCCCAACACCGTCGCTGAATACACCAGGGGCATCACCTGGGGATGGTTCGTGCCAAACCACACTGATGGGGACCGTGCTTTGGCACGATATTCCCCTCCTTCGCTTCCTGGCACCTTTCTGGATGCCCAGGGAATTGGTGTGAATGTGTTATCCATCACGGCGACAGCCCCACAAACAAACCCTCCTCCTCCTACTACAACAAACGGCGTCAGGCGATGCTCACATTATGAATGGGACGGATAAAATCGATGGAAGTGCACTTGGAAAGCATCCCGGGATGAATCACCGCAAGGCTGAGGGACAGCCAGGAGACTTTGCACTTGTCTGTAGACATCCTACAGACCAGCAGCCACCCTGAGCAGCCACCAAAACACTGCAGGCACCAACCCCATTGTGCTTGAGTCCCCCAAAGAGATTATGTGGTGACACCAGGGTGAAGCCTCCTCCCAAAACAGCTCAACAATCCCATGCAAGACAACCACAACAGGGATGATGTCAGGTGTATCTACCACAGCACACCCAGGCAGAAACAGCAGCCCGGGGCCATACGATGGGGAATGATGCTGGCAGAGGTTCATTGAATCAGCCTGGTTTGAAGGGACCTTAAAGCTCATCCAGTCCCTCCATAAGACACCCCAGACCTCACTCGAGCTGGCTTTAGGGACAAACTAAGAGGGGAGAGATCCCCAAAGGGCTCAGACACAGCAGCAAACTGCAGCAATGCTCAAGGCAGCAGCTTCCCCTCCCCATGCCACAGAATCACAGCATCAACCAGGTGGGAAAAGCCCTTTAAGCTCATCCCAGCCCAACCCCAGCACTGCCAAGGCCACCACTGACCCATGGCACTGAGGGCCTCATCTACACAGTGCGTGAACACTTGCAGGGACCATGTAGGATTCAACCTGAGGGTTTTGTTTTGGTGTGTTTTTGTGTGTTTGTTTGTGTGTTTGGGTTTTGTGTGGGGTTTGGTTTTTGTGGGTTTGGTGGTGTGTGGTTGTGTGTGGGTGTGGGTGTGGGTGGGGGTGTGGGTGGTGGGGTGTTGGTTGTTGGTGGGGGGTTGGGGGGGTGTGGTGGGGGTGACCCCCTGGGAAGTCCCCTGTGAAGGGGATTTGGGCTGGAACAAGGTTAAGGAGAAAGGGTTGGAAAGGACCTTAAGCACTTCCAGTCCCAACCCCTGCCATGGGCAGGGACCCCTTCCACTGGAGCAGCTTGCTCCAAGCCCCTGTGTCCAGCCTGGCCTTGAGCACTGCCAGGGATGGGGCAGCCACAGCTTCTCTGGGCACCCTGTGCCAGCGCCTCAGCACCGTCACAGGGAACAGCTTCTGCCTTAGATCTAACCTAAATGTTGGCCCATTCTGGAGAACACCAAGCAGGGGACCTGCTCTGGATGCACACGGTGACAGTGGCTGGATTTGCAGTGGAGAGGGAACAGGCAGAGGAAAGCAATGCCAGCCACCTCCAGGACACCCAGGTAACAGAGACACAAACATGAACCTTTGCAGTCAAAAGGAGAAGATCCAACCTGATTTCTGGTGCCTGTAGCCAAGTCATGGGGTGTTGAATCCTAAATCCTGTTTCCAAGTAACAACACGTCCCTGGTGGTCACTTGTTCACTGTGAGGGACCAGGTGCACCAAGAGAGGGGCCTGGATGCAGCCAGACAAAGCATCTCCTGTCCCTCCCTCAGCCATGGGCTGCTTCAGGGCTAAGCTGGAGCTCAAGAGCACCCCAAAAGTCTTTACTTCCCTTCCAAGGGAAAACACCAGCTCCAAACCCAAGTACACAGGGATCCTGGCCCTGTGTAGAGAGGACTTTACCCCTCCAGCAGGACTTGTGCTGCAGGAGAATGATGCTCCTTCACAGCATCTTCCAGCCCTCATGTTCTTGCTGTGGCAATCAGCACCCATCAGGGCAAACGGGCTGTTAAAAACAAGCGAGGGGCATCCAAACCCGCATCCGAGTGGGACCAAAGGTGATTCAGATGGGAGCATGCTCCTGCCACAAGCAGCAAGACATGCTGCCTGTTGTAAAGGGATCACTGAGAGACAGCAGGGAGAGAAGGGTCTGGCCAAGGGCTCGCTGGGCTCCTCTCCTGCATCTCAATCCATCAATGACAATAGTTTTCTCTTTCAGTGCTTAGGGAAGTCGTTCCACATCAATCCAGGGCACACCAGGTGATGCCAGGCTGATCCCAGCAGGGAAAAAGGGAAGGGGCATTTTGCTGTTGGGGTTTTATAAAGGTTTAGGTACCTATGGTCATAGGGATGGGATATTAGGGAGCAGCCTTCCAGTATCTGAAGGGGGCTATAAGGATGCTGGAGTGGGACTCTTCATCAGGGACTGTAGTGATAGGACAAGGGGTGATGGGTTCAGACTGAAACAGGGGAACGTCAGGTTGGATCTAAGGAAGACGGATGTGCCAGTTTTCCTACAGGGTCACAAACCAGAGAGCAACCATGGAGGCAGACAGAAACCAGGGATGCAGCTCCAGGACAAGGCCACCAGTACAGAATGATGCAGAAATACAAGAGAGATAGGAAAAAAACCCATTGTTTTTTGGCCTTCTCTCCTGTTTTCCCAACAAATCCCTGAGATTAAGGGTCAGTGAGTGGACGAATGCTGAACCTGCCAGGACTAAATGGTTTCAGTGATGCTAAAACCTCTCCATGGAGATCAATGTCTCATATCTAGCCCACACAACAAACATGTACAGCAGCCAAGAAAGGTGGTGAGCCGAGGGAAATGCAAAGAGACACCTTTCCAGCAGTGCTAGTCACTTGATAGCCCATCACTTCTCATCGCATCCCGTTCCTGCCATGCCACATTCCATCAGGTTATGACACCGTGGGATGTAATGCAATGCAGCAAGACACGGTGGGGGGTTGTTGAGAACAGGTCTCATTTCTTGGTTTCTGCTCTGCTCATCTCTATTGTTCCAGACTGAATTCAGCTGATGCCACAGGGAAAGAGCAATGGAAAAATACCCCTTGCTCCAGGCAAACCTGCTGAGAGCCAGGTCCATGGACATCTCCAGATGCCCACAGAGCTCCTGACAGGTCCCACTGTCCCCAGAGCTAAAGAAAGGGGTGCAAAAGGATGCCAGAAATGGCTCAGTGAGACTTCAGTGACCCCCAACAGCAGCTGGTTGGTGTAAACCAAAGACAGAGAGAAAGAAACTGGAAGGGGTTTCCCTTGCAGAGGTGTCCTGGTGCTGCTTCCCACCATGGTGTGGGGTAAGGGAGAGGAAAACCTGCTGGTGCCGGGAGGCTGGATGGGAAGGGAGGGATGCTCCCTGTAAACCCCTTCTTCAGCCAAGAGGCAAGCAGTAAAACCACTGGAAGAACCCAAACCGAGCCAGGATGAGCACGTTTTGGGAAAGCGAAGGAGGGAAAGGCTGGGATGGGGAACGTGGCAGAAACGCAGCATGGATGTGGAGCTGGAGGAAGCTTTCAGTTGAGCAATGGAAGCAAAGGGAGCTCTTGGCATGCAAATCACTCCCAGCAGCTGCTGCACGGCCTCTGGGAGGGTTTTGTTTGGTCTGAGAGCTTGTGAAAGCTTCAATCCCTGCTGGATCCATCAAGCACTGCTCCGAGGCTGGGGAATAAGGGCCCGGCTGGCTCTCCCCAGCCAACAGCAATGCCCTGGGTGAGCACATTGATCCAACCCCCCCATTGAGCTCCACCAAGGGCAAACCCCACCAGTTAGACCCACAGGCAGGATTGCAGCTGGATGCTGGCATCAGGCTCTATGGGGTTTGCACCAGACCTGTCTGCATTGGGGCTGCCTTCATCCAACACTCATCACTTTGGCTCAAAACCCCACGTGCAAGAGAAAAAAGCATGGAGAAGGAGGAAAGCAGCCTCCTTGCATGAATGTAAAACCACAGCTGGATTTACAATGGAACCCATGGAAAAGTCACTCTCAGTGATGGGCAGTGTCACCAAGCATGGAAGGCTCATGGCTTCTCCAAAGGGCAGCAGCCACCCTCCTGCACCCATGGTACTGCAATGGGGAAGCAACTCCGATTGCATAAATCAGTATTTGATGTGACAATGGCTTTGTATATAGACAGATTTCATCAAGTTTCCAGGCTTATGCTTGCCCAGAAGCACCCACGTATCTCTAACCACTGCTGCGATGCATCCAACATCCTCCATCAACCACTGGAGACACCCTGCGCTTCCCACAACCACATCATCCATCACCCATCACCCACCTCATAGAAGGGGACCTTGGACTTACTTGCTGAGAAGGTGGCTTCGGTGTGGACAGGAGGGGTGGAGGGGAGGAAAGGGGGGTACCCCACAAAGAAGGAGCGGAGGGAGCGCTCGGAGAGGAGCGGGGAGCGCTGCGCGGGGATGTTCTCGCAGCTCCCCACGCTGTTGTGGATCTTGAGGTTCAAGGGCTTGTTCTTCTTCTTGACTCTGCAAGGAAAAGGGGGAAACAGAGAGAAAAGTGAAGGGCAAGGAACTGGGAGGGGAGAAGAGCAATGCACCGAGGGACTGGTACCTCTAGGATGGCTGCTCATGTGATGCTCATGTGATAATCAAACCCATTTCCCTACAGGAGCTTCCATCCCTCCTCATCGTCAGGAAAAGGCAGTTTTCATTAAGGAACACAAGAGCTCTTCCTCTCGCAACATCTGGATGAAATGGGGCAGTTGGTCCAAAAGCCCCATCGCCACCAGCCTTATCCATCCCCAAAATCACCTACTGCCCACCATCCCTTCACACCGGTCACCCCTCAGTGCCTCATGCCCAGAGATTGCCAACACAAACCTGCTGGGGCCTCACTGATGGTCAAAAGGTGGGGTTGTGCTCTGAGCCCTTGAGCATCATTGCACAAGACCCCAGGTAACTGCCTTGTCCCCTCTGGGACCAAGAGGGTTGGATGTGGTGCTGTGCCCATCACAGCTCCTCTTTATAGCAGCTCAGAGGCTGCCAGCCTGGGTCTCCAAGGCTCATCCTCATCCCAAAACAGTGGCAAAGGGGGGAAACTGAGGCATGGAGAGATTATGGAGCAGATTCAAGCTGCTTATTACAGTACCTAGAAAGGACTTAGGCACTAAGCTGGAAAGATGCTGCTCTCTGTGCATCCTAACAGCACTGGTCCCAGCTCCTTCCCACTAGGAGCAAGGCACCCAGATCACCGGAACCCTATAAAACCAGCTTCAATTCTATGGCCATTTAAAGTCACCTACATCCATTTTAGGGCCCAAGCAGGAGAGCTGAGTACAGCTGAGGGGTCACTGCAGCACAGCAGGTCAGCCAGGGTTAACACTGTGAGCAGCCCCAGCAGAAAGCCCAGGAACAGCTCACCAGGGCACAGGACCATGGGGCAGACAACCCAAAGCCCTGGGAGGTGTTCATCAGAGCAGGGGGGATGAGACACACACCTCTCATTTATCAGCCCATTCTTCCACCTGCCTTGTGCTGTGACAAGGACCAGCATCACTTCAGTGGCTCACAGGGACCCAAAGTAGCCCACAAACCTGAAGGGTTTGCAATGCAGAGCGATGCTGACAGCTTGAAGAGCTGGGATGCAGGTTCCTGGCTCTGCTCTGCTTTGCTGGCTTGGCCGTTCCCAGCCTGGCCACACTGCAATAGTGCAAGGTGGAGAGGAGCAGCATCTGCCCTGCTCAAAGCAGGCTGCGGGAAGAGCAGCTCAATCCCATTGGAGATCTGGAGGATCTGGGGCAGAGATCCCCAATCTGAGCACTGGGTGGGCAGTGCGACAGCTCATGGGCATCATGGAGCTGGAGATGCAGTCAGCACTGATGTACAACTGAACCACAGCCTCTAATGCAACCCCTGCCTTTGATTCCAGAGGGCTGGAGCAGCTCTGCTCTGGAGCCAGGCTGAGAGCTGGGCTGGGGCAGCCTGGAGAAGAGAAGGCTCCTGAAGGGGAGACCTTAGAGCAGCTCCAGTGCCTAAAGGGGCTGCAGGGAACCTGGAGAGGGGCTTGGGACAAGGGCCTGTAGGGACAGGCCAAGGGGAATGGCTTGAACCTGCCCGAGGGGAAAGCAGTTGCTTTCCTGAACACTTCCACACCCATTCCCTGCATAGGGTCCTGCTCAGCTGCCATCATTCCAGCACCACTGACCAGAGCTCAGACACCACAGGAGAACCATCCTGCCTGGGGCCAGGCGTCTCCCACTGCCCTGGGTCCAGCAGCACCCATGGGCATCCGGCCAGGAGAGCAGATAGGAAATGACTGCAGCAGCCTCAGCAGAAGAAAATTAAACCACCCTTTAATAAGTTAATTGTTTCCTCACACAGGAAAAGCTGCTGCTGCCTTTGGGGTGGCTGCAACGGCTTCTTTGGGTGTGCTGGACATAGGGTCATAGAATGAATCACAGAACCCAGCCTGGTTTGGGTTGAAGGGACCTTGAAGCTCATCCAGTTCCAACCCCTGCCACAGGCAGGGACCCCTTCCACTTGCTCCAAGCCCCTGTGTCCAGCCTTGGGATGGGGCAGATGGTTGTTCCAGCCAGGTCCAACAGGACAACCCTTTCTTAGAGCTCATTGTGGCCCAATGCACAAGCAGCCCCATAGATGATGCTTTCCATGCCCCACCAGGGGGAATCTAAGTCCTAAACCCCAAGTCCTTATAGCAAACCTACCAATCACCATTGTGAGAAGCCCCAGAGCCAGACCAACCCTTCCATCACTGCCGCTTGATCCCAACCCAGTGCCATGACCACAGCATCTCCCCCAGCACATGCACGGCCCCAGCACCCACCCCATAGCACTTCCTGCAATGCACTGATTAGCCACTAATTCCATTTTTTCCACCCATAAATCAGTTCCAGAGCAAATATTAACCACGAGCATCATTTCCGTGCCAAGCAGGGCTGTGACAGCTCTCGTTATTAGGAGGGATGAGTGATTTTGGAGAGATGTTTCTCTCTCCATGTTCCTTTCAGGAATGAAAAATGAATTCAGAAATACACACAACCCCCATGAGCCAACCAGCTGAGGGTTGGCCACACAATGTCTCACTATGGCCTTGACCCCTCTTCCTTGGTCCATGGGCAAGCCCATGGCTGGGGTGTAGAGGATGTGGGCAGTGGGTGTTCCAGCACCATGCATGGTTGCAGGGAGCAATCCTCTGCCCCATCCTCCAGCAAAGGCAATGGGGAAGAAGGCAGAAACAGCAAATAACCCAGCACTGGAGCAGCACAAGCCCTGCAAGCACAACCAACCTACAAAGGCATCCAAGAGGTGATGCGGTTCCTCTGCTTCGCTGCAATCTCCTCTTGGATGCTCCAAAGCAGCCCCAAGGCCACAACAACCAACGTGGGGACAAGGCACAGAAGGAGCACCAGGACAGGGATGTGACACCCCATCACCTCCCAATAGGACTTTGAGTAAAGCTCAAAGCACTTCTGGCTATCAGAGGGATGCGCTTTGGCTGGTGACCACCAGGATGGTGCAGGATGTGGCCACCACACTTAGGGCTGCAGCATCCCAGCCCTGCTGCAAAAGCCTCTCCTCTACAAGCCACTCCTGAATCAGGCTTTTTCTGTGTCTCACTTTTCAGGTGGTGAGTGGAGATAGGGGTGTAAATCCCATGGGAGGATGAGGATATTCCTCCTACCCACCCCCAGGTCAACTTCCAGTATCCGGGAACAGCTTCACTCACCCCTGGCAAACATTCCTATTTCCTCCTCAGTTACCCAAGTGGCACCGCATGAGGTGTGGGGGGGAAAGCAAGTGCTGGAAATGCATCGTGGTTCTGCCAGCCTAAACCCCCCCCGAGTCCCCATATCCTGCATCCCATTCCAGGTCCTGCTGGGAATCACCCCACACACACATCCCCCCAAACCCATCGAGGACAGCAGAAGCAAACCAGTGGATTTCTTGTTTCAAAACAAGGAAAAACATCAGCTTAAGTCAGTTTTCCATAGGGATAAACCCTCTACACGGCAGCAGACCCCTTTTCTGAAGAGGGGGCACCCCGGACCTCACTGATGGAAACCTCAGCCGTGCAACCCCAGATGGATGGGGAGGGAGCAGCCAAGTCCAGGATGCTTGCAGGATGCAGACCGGGCTCGCTCGGCTGCTCAGGGGGATGAGGGGGGGTTGGCAGCACTAATCCCCCCATTAAGCACCATTTCACACCTCTCCAGACGCTGGGAAGTTCTCAGTGCTTGGCTCTGGAAGGGGGATGTAGGCGCTGCTTAAAGCATCCCGGTGATTACACAGGAATGCTGATGGAGAAGCAAATGCAGCAGGAGGGAAAAGGCTTGGCAAAGCCTGGGGCTGCGGTAAGGGGCTATTTAGATGGTGCTGATACCTCCCAGCCCTCGGGAAGGACCATTATCCTCCAGTCACAGTTGGGCAATCACTGAAATGAGACCAACCCAGCCGGGGAATGCAGCAAAACGCCAGTCAGGGACATGGGGAGTTAGTTCTGTACCAGCGAGGGCTCCTTCTGGCTTTAAAGGGTTTGTGGGGAGCAAAGAGGACCACGCACAGCCCATCTCCAGGCTTGAAGCCCCCCCAGAATCATGCAGGGATGGCAGGGAAAGCGCCACCACCGCCTCCTTTCTGGGCAGGTTCAGAGCAGATCCCAACTCTGAACATCCCAACTATTCCTTTTGGACACTCCAGGAGCCTCGGGTCCCTTCTCCATGCTCATCCCAGCCCCACTGCAGGAGGCTGTGAAGCCGGGCAGCCCCGGGTGCTCTGCCAGCACCATGCAGCCCTTGCTGCAGGGATTCCAGGCTTCCCACTGGGAAAACAGGGCTGGATCCTGCCCCACACAACCCTCAGCTCCGCGGACCTTTTCCAAGCTCACTGGTTCCTACATTACAAGCCCCACAGCTGCTCCTGGACCCACAGACACTCACTGGCAGTCAACCTGCTTAACGTAACCATCCCCTAACCCTCTGCATGGCCAAAACCACCCATACTTTAACCCATGTCTTCCTCATGCATCTCTCAACAGGGACACCAGACACAGCACCCTGCATCCCAACCCCCTAAAACCAGGGTCCACAGGAGCATCAGGGCTATGTTCTGTCCCAGCCTACCACGGATGCTCGGGTAGATAAACACCGTTATTTGGGAGCGATTCCATGCGCCGAGAGGTAAATGCCAACTATTAGAGAGGTAATTTCATGCAAGAATCTGCTAAATATATGATGGAGGCTTTAGGAAAAAGGAGGGGAAATAAAAGCCCCGCGAGTTTGAAGCGCTTAATGCAAATCCCTTCAGGTGCCAATCCAGCCTGAATGGCGCATCCCCGCCTGCTCTGTGCCATCACTCAAACGCTCATCACCGGCTGCGGGAAACAAATAGAGGGTTTCAAGAAGCGATGAAAAACAGGAGCAGACACCCAGGACAAAGGGCCCGTCACTCCTTTCAGCTCCAGCGAGGCTCTACGGGCATGGAAGACCGGTGGGAGGGCAGGGATTGAT